GGCCTGGGGGAGACAGGTGTGGCTCAGACGCTCTTTGGCAAGGTGGGAGCCAGGGCTCCCTTAAGAGGTCCACCTTAAGAGGTCCTCCAGAGTGACCCAGGGAGAACCATTCTCCGTCCCACCCACTCCTGGATCTCAAGCTCCCAGGACGCAGAGAGAACCTGAGCCATTGCCCAGTTTGTGCTGCTTGATCACGGTGGCCCCAGGAAAGCAATTCAAGAGTTGCAGCAATGCTGCCCAGCCCCACGGGCAGGGAAACCAGGGCCAGGAGGCGGTGCTGGGGGCTGCAGCTGGGTGGACCGCACGGCTGGGGTGTGTTCGCTGCCTGCTACTCTTCTACATTTTTCCAGGTTTTATTTAGTGACTATGCTCCAATCTGTATTAAAGAATCAAGATTCCGTTTCATCAAGGACTAGCATGTTTAGCAAAGAGAGTAGCAGAGGCCGGATTTAGCAACTGAAAGACTCCAGGAAACATGGGAAACAATAGCTGTCAAGATGTTGGACATCAGGCGACGAAGAGAGACAGCGGCTCCCTCCAACCCGGCTGCTACCCGGAAACGCCACGGCCTGAGTGGCGTAAAAGCAACAGACACGCATCTCCACGGCTGCGGACGACGGGACGTTCAAGGTCGACGCTCTGGCAGATTCGATGTCCGGTGAGGTCACTCCCTGGTTCACGGACGGCACCTTCTCGCTGGGTCCCCTTCCCCTCTGGTAGAAGGGGTAGGAGAGTTCTCTGAGGTCTTTTTTTTTTTTTTTGAGACAGGGTCTTGCTCTGTTGCCCAGGCTGGAGTGCAACGGCGCGATCTCAGCTCACTGCAAGCTCCACTTCCCAGGTTCAAGTGATTCTCCTGCCTTAGCCTCCTGAGTAGCTGGGATTACAGGTGCCCACCACCAAGCCCAGCTAATTTTCGTATATTTAGTAGAGACAGGGTTTCACCATGCTGGCCAGGCTTGTCTCAAACTCCTGACCTCAGGTGATCCAACTGCCTTGGCCTCCCAAAGTGCTGGGATTACAGGCGTGAGCCACCACCCCTGGCCTCTGGGATCTCTTTTGTAAGGACACTAACCTCATTCTTGAGGGCTCTGCCACCTCCCCAAGTCCCCACCTCCTAATATCATCACCTTGGGCACTAGGATTTCAACATAGGAACTGGAGGGTGAGGAAGACACAAACGTACAGCCCGTGGCAGACAGGAAACACACAAAGGGAGCCCTAAAACTGCCCAGGTCACCGCCGCGAGGGTTTCCAGGACAAGGGGAGCCCTAAAACTGCCCAGGTCACCACTGGGAAGGTTTCCAGGGCAAGGGGCCAGGAAGGGGAACTCAGGAAGAGCTCAGCTGAGAGGCCACGGAGCCCACGGCCGCTGGAGTGCACAGGGCACTGGCAAGGAGAGAGCTGCCCAGAGCAAAGCGTAGAGACCTGCAGAAAGTCCATCTTGAGTGTTTGGCAGAGAACCTGCTCAGCACACGCCTAGGAGGAGACTAAGGCTGGCGAGCAACCACCCGAGAGCAGCGGCGCTCACACAGGCTGGGAAAAGCACGGCTCCCGCCAGCGCCACCGAGAACCCTCGCCACTCAAAGTTCACGGTGCAGTGGGCAGAGTCTCTGTCCCTCAGGGTCTTGCCTCAATGGTGAGGAGTAGTTTGCCCTGGACTCGGCACTGCTTTGATGCCACCTACAAGTCACAAAAGGCCCAGGAGGCCCCTCTCCAATCCCTTAATTACATCCCAGAACAAAGCTCCAAGACACAAAAGTATCCGGCAGCCCACAAGGTAAAATTCACGAAGTCCGACAGCCATTAAAATAGTATCAGGCAGGCAAAGAAAGGCGATAACTCCACCCATAACCAGGAGAAAATTCCACTAAATCCAAACCACAAAACCAACACGGATGTTGGAATTAGCCGATGAAGACATTAAAACAGGCGTTACGACAGTATTCCATGTCATCAAAATGCTATGCTAAAAATTGAACGGATTTAGTAAAAAACATGAAACATATAAAAAGGATCCAAATTAAACATCTAAAGATAAAAATGACTATGTATGAGATGAAACACACTGGACAGGATTAACAGCAGATGGGACACCGCAGAAGAGGAGGGTGGTGAACTCAAAGACATAATAGAGACACAGAAAGACAAAAGAATCCAAAAAATAAACAGCTCCTTAGCGAGCAGTAGGTGGAAAAGCTTCGCGCAGTCTGACACGTCTGTAAACGGAGCCCACGAAGGAAGAGAGGAGGACAGGAAAAACTGAAGAAATCATGGCCAAAATTTGTTCAAATCTGATGAAAACTTGGCTGGGCGCAGTGGCTCACACCTGTAATCCCAGCACTTTGGGAGGCTGAAGTGGGTGGATCACCTGAGGTCAGAGGCTTAAAACCAGCCTGGACAATCTGGTGAAACCCCATCTCTACTGAAAATACAAAAATTAGCAGGGTGTGGTAGCGGGTGCCTGTAGTCCCAGCTACGCAGGAGGCTGAGATGGAGGGACCGCTTGAGCCCCGGAGTTTGAGGTTACAGTGAGCCGAGATCGCACCACTGCACTCCAGCCTGGGCAACATCGCGAGACTCTGTCTCAAAAAATAATAATAATAATGAAAACTAAAACGCAGAGATACAAGAAGCTCAATGAGCCCAAAGTACAAGAAACATGAAAGAAATGACACCAAATCCTAGTCAAACAGAATCAGTGTTAAAGAGAAAATCTTAAGTTGTAGGGTGGGGGCGTGTCACAAAGAGGAAACATATTAAAATAACAACAGATTTGGGGTTTTTTTTTGGGAACTCGTGCCAGTAAGAAAACTAGGGCAGCACCTTTGCAGTACAAACGGAAGAAGCTATCATCCTAGAAAAACATCTTTCAAAAACAAAGGCAAAATGAAGACATTTTCAGACAAATAACAACTGCACTGTACATTAAGAAATAAAGGAAGCCCTTCAGGCCAGTGGAAAAGGATGCCAGATAGAAATATGGCTGTGTGGCTCATGCCTGTCATCCCAGCACTTTGGGAGGCCGAGACAGGCGGATCATGAGGTCAGGAGATCGAGACCATCCTGGCTAACACAGTGAAACCCCGTCTCTACTAAAAAAAAAAAATACAAAAAAAACTAGCCGGGCGAGGTGGCGGGCACCTGTAGTCCCAGCTACTCGGGAGGCTGAGGCAGGAGAATGGCGTAAACCCGGGAGTCGGAGCTTGCAGTGAGCTGAGATCCGGTCACTGCATTCCAGCCTGGGCGACAGAGCGAGACTCCGTCTCAAAAAAAAAAAAAAGAAAAAAGAAATATGGCTCTGTGGCTCATGCCTGTCATCCCAGCACTTTGGGAGGCAGAGGCAGGCAGATCACTTGAGGTCAGGAGTTCAATACCACGCTGACCAATATAGTAAACCCCCATCTCTACTAAAAACACAAAAATTAGCCAGGTGTGGTGGCGGGTGTGCCTGAGGTTGCAGCTACAGCTACTCAGGAGGCTGAGGCAGGAGAATCACTTGAACCCAGGAGGTGGAGGCTGCAGGGAGCTGAGATCACACCACAGAACTCCAGCCTGGGTGACAGAGCAAGACTCTATCTCGAAAAAAAGGATGGACGGACGGACGAAGGAAGGAAGGAAGGAAGATGGATCCACATGATGGAATAATGCATTTGAAACAGTAATTGTATGGGTAAATATAGTTTTTTACTATTTAAACCTGTTTTTAAAATAACTAATTAAACAAAAGTACCAACAATGCAGTGTGCTATGAATCGTGTGTAGAAGTAAAATGTGTGACAAGAATCGCACAACCCGCGAGGAGGGAACTGTGAGACACTTTTTTTTTTTGAGACAGTCTTACTTTGTCGCCCCAGCTGGAGTGCAGTGGTGCAATCTTGTCTAACTGCAGCCTCTGCCTCCCAGGTTCAAGCGATTCTCCTGCCTCAGCTTCCCGAGTAGCTGGGACTACAGGTGCCCGCCACCACGCCCAGCTAATTTTTGTGTTTTTAGTAGAGACGGGGTTTCACCATGTTGACCAGGCTGGTCTCGAATTCCTGACCTTGTGATCCACCCACCTCGGCCTCCCAAAGTGCTGGGATTACAGGCGTGAGCCACCGCGCCCGGCCTGGAAGGTTCTTATTCTATATGTGGAATGTGGTAATATCTTTAGAAGGTAGACTATAGTAAGTTGTAGACGTACTATAAACTCTAAGAAAACTACTAAAATAATAAAAAGTTATGGCAGATAAGCAAACAAAGGAGATAAAATGGAACTGTGGAAAAATAGTCAATCTGAGAGAAGGTAGAAAAGAAAGACGAAGAACAAATGGAAGACACAGACAACAAGTAGCAAGATGGTAGATTTTAACCTGACCGCATCAGTAATTACATTAAATATAATAGTCTAAACACCCCCAATAAAAAGATGTGGATTGTCAGACTAGAATAAAAAGCAAGATCACTCTATAAGCTGCCCAGAGAATCTCACTGTAAGGAAAAGACACGCATCAGTTATTGAAAGTAAAGGAATAGAAAAAAACAAACCAGACTAACAGAAAGAAAGATCAAGTGGCAACATTAATACCCAGGTAGATTTTAGAGCAAGGAACTGGCAATAAAGGTCATTTAATAATGATAAAATCATGACTTTGGATTAAGCAAAGATTTCTTAGATACAACACTAGAAGAACGATGAGTCAAGTAAAAAATAGTACATTGGACTTTGTCAAAATTAAGAACTTTGGCCAGTCTAGGTGGCTCATGCCTTGTAATCCCAGCAATTTGGGAGGCTGAGGTGGGTGGATCACCTGAGGTCAGGATCTTGAAACCAGCCTGACCATCATGGTGAAACCCCAACTCTACTAAAAATACAAAAATTAGCCAGGCGTGGTGGCACGCACCTATAGTCCCAGCTACTCCGGAGGCTGAAGCAGGAGAATTGCCAGAACCAGAGAGGCAGAGGTTGCATGAGCCGAGATCGCACCATTGCACTCCAGTCTGGACAACAGAGCACGAGACTCCGTCGAAAGAAAGAAAGAGAGAAAGAAAAAGAAAGGAAGAAAGAGCAAGAAAGCAAGAAAGGAGGGAGGGAGGGAAAGAATGAACTTTCGCTCTTTTGAACAGAAGTTTTGACAGTTAATAGTATCTTCTGACACAATTAAGAGAATAAAAGGACAAGCCCCGACTGGGAGAAAAATCCTTGCCAAGTATGTATTTTTAGTGAAGGACTCGAATGCAGAATATAGAAAGAACTCTCAACACCGAAGCAACCCAGTTTTAAAATGGACAACACGTTAGAACGGACCCTCCAACAAAGAAGATACGCGGATGGCAAATAAACACATAAAAAGATGCTCAATGTCATTAGTCGTTAGGAAAATTCAGATTAAAACCACAGTCAGATAGCACTGCCCGCCTGTTAGCATGGCTAACATTTTAAAAACGGACGACGCGAAGCATACAGGAGGGTGAGAAGGGGCTGGAACGCGTATCACGGGTGGGAGGCACAATGGCACAGCCGTCCCATTAAACAGTTTGGCAGTTTCTGAAAAATTCAGATGCCAACCACGTGATCCAGCAGTTCACACTGGGAGAAGTGGCAGCACAGGCTCCTCTGAGACACAGACGTGCATGTTCTACTGCTTCGTTTGTAATTGCTGAAACAGGATGAGCAGACGAACGGGCCACGCTGTGTTCACCACCGATGGACACCTGGGTCATTTCCAGTTGGGGTTGTTACAAACAGCTCCTGGGAGCATGTGTGTGCACGCATCCGCCTCAGGCACTGGCCATGCCCCCAAGAGTCGGTGGCGTCCGGACTGGAGGCAGCTGCCACTACAGCAAGGGTGCACTTGGCCACCAGTCTTGAGCCAGGCTCCTGGGTAAGCCGGGGGGTGCTCCTCGGCCGCCCTGCTTGTGCTTTCATCTGGGGGAGGGTTGGGCTTTGGGGGACCCCTGGGGAGCTGCTGAGACAGTGGACGGTGGACATGGGCTGCTCTGATGACCGGTCTCAGCCCCGATCAGCCCTGACACCAGCTGGGAGAGCCTGAGCCTCTGGCTTCCCGAGCCCCGAGCCCAGCTGTAGGGCCACGTCTGTGCCACCTGGGCTTCTGCCAGGCCTGTGTGTTCTGGGCCCCCAACTCCTGACCCTGCGGGCCATGTGCACGGGGCCCCCCATGGGCCACACAGCACTCACGGCCACAGGGCAGCAGATCAGACCCAAAGTTCCCCTGGACCGGCACCTGGTGTGAGTGGCTGGGAAACCGCCTGTTCCCTTCTGGCCTCCACTGTGTTTCCCCCGAACAACACCCGAAGAGCCAGCTGTTGTGAGCCTGGGGGCTCCTTGGCTCTCCGCAGGCCACGCCAGCCATGCCAGCATCCCCCAGGACCCTCTGGACCAGGACCTGTCCCGTCACCCCTGCTTGCCTGGGCCTCAGTGGCTGCCCCCACTGCACGTCCCACCGCCTGGGAAGGGCCCTGGACGTGATTCCTGAGAGAGACTCGGGTCTGGCTGCAACACCTGGAGCTTTTCTGGGGAAAAAAACAAATTCTTCAAATTCTCTGCAGGATCTGTGGCCCCAACGCCATTGCTGGCAAAGGCACCTCTGCCGGGGCACCTGCCCAGACTCTGCACCAGCACACAGCACCACCGCCCCCAAGGCTGGCTGAGGGTCCCTTCCCTGCCCCCAGCTCTGGTCCTCAGTGCACCCACCACTCCCAGCTCACTCTAGGCCAGGACACCTTCCAGCCTAATCTCCGACACCTCCTGGCCCCACCCCGCACCCAGTCCTGCTCCTCACCTGGGGGCCCGGGAAGCCCTTCGTCTCGCCCTGGGCTGCCCAGAGCCCACTTGCTGTGAGTGGCACCTGCCCTCAGAGGCCATTTGACTTCTGCTTTTGGGGCCCTGCTGGGCTCCCCAAAGGGACCCCATAAACGTCACCCCCATGAGAGGGATGAGGATTCCTGGGAAAGAGGTGGTCTCATGAGCCTCAGCTCCAGCTTGGCCTCCACCCCCACCTGACCAGCAGCCTCCAGAGTCCCCGAGTCAGCAGTCCAAGGTCCCCCCACCCTCCTCAAAGCCCCCACACCAGCCACCCTCGGAGAGCAAGCCCTTACTAACTCCCCGTCCAGCCACACTCATTGAAGGCAAAAGGTGCCCCGATAAGCCCTGGCCCCGGGCAGTGTGGTGCCCCACGGCTGCCAGCCCAGAGCAGCCCAGGGCGCCCAGTTCCCAACAACCTTATCTGTTTGCATTTCACTCCTCATCCGCTGGTTATCAGCTCCAGAGCCCAGGCGGGGCAGTCGGCTGGACACCCAGCCGTCCTGGCAGCCTCTCCCTGTGGGTGCTCAGATGAGGGCGCCTTGGGTTCAGGCCTGGAGTTGGCAATGCATGGACATCTGCCCCAGGACATCGGAGGTACAGCCCAGCCCTCAGGATCCTGGTCTTCCCCTCGGGGCTGGTGGGGCACAGTCACCCCGGCACGGAAGGCTCTGTCCCAAGAGGGCCTGCTCAGGGCCCCACGGCAGGGGGTGAAACTCTCGGGGCGGGTCTGACAGGCCCTGCTCCTCCCAGGGAGCAGCTGGGGGCTCTGTACCCTCACCTGTGGCACACAGCCACCTCCCATGGGATGGGAAAAGGGGAGAAGGCATTTGGGGTGCCAAGCGGGGAGATGACTCGGCCACCTACCCTGGGGCTCAGAGGTACCCAAGTAAGGTGTGAGAGGAGCTGAGGCCAGGGGCCTCTCCTGGGTGCCTGCCCAAGGTTACCGGCCGGCAATGCTCACCCAGGGAGGTGGGAATCCCGCCCCAGCTAAGCTCCCACCTGGAGGGAGGGGTGACCTGGCCAGGACCCCTCCTGTGGTGCCGCGTCAATGGCCCCAGCAGCCAGTATCCTGCCCCCGCCCCCGGCTGAAACGTGTCTGCTCCTGAGGGCCCCGGCCCACCGTGACCTGCTTCCTGCACGGGGCATAAGTAGACAAAAAGGACAAGGGCCCGTCTCTGGAGGAGGGCAGGTGGCAAGTTCCCCAGCCCTTTCTGGAACGTGAGTCTACCGGCCTGGGCTGAGCCCAGCGTTAGGCAGTGGTTCCTGCTGGTCACTCCTCAACCTGCCCTGGACGTGGGGGCCAGGCCAGCATCCCAGCCACCTCCAGGCCAGCATCCCAGCCGGGGCCAGGCCCAGCATCCTAGCGACCTCCAGGCCCAGCAACTACCAGGGCCCCTCCTGCAGCCAGACAAGACCTTTGGTCCACTCGAAGCCACACAGTGGACTGTGGGCAGCGGACAGCACAGGGCTGGGGCTGGGCTGGGGGTGGGGGCTATGCACACCTGAGTGTCCGGCTCCTGAAGGGGGTCCCGGGGATACGGGGGAGGGGCAGTGCCCCCAAATCCCAGCCCAGGCACCAAGCAGTCGAGTCTGAAAGTGCAGACAGGTGGATGCCCAGGGAGCCCTGGCCCTCGAACATCACTGGACAGGGGCTGTGGGGCCTCACTGAGGAGGGTGGGCTGGTGGTCGCCCGGGTGAGCTGCCCTCCCGGGGTCATGCTGGCCCTCCCCAGGCCCTGGGGAAGGCCCTCACCTGTGGCATGCAGCTGGCTCTGTTTCTACCTCCAGCAGGGTGGACTCCAGCAGCTGAGGTGGGGGGTCTGCAAGGCTGGTGGAGGAGCAGGAGTTGGCCAGGGAGGGGAATAGAGGTCAGAGCTCAGGGAGTGTTAGAGCCAGGCAGGGCCTCCTCTGAGGTGCTGGAGACGATGAGTGGGCACCACACACGCGTGGCTGCAGGGTGGGGGCCACAGCAGGCCAGATTCGATGGGGGTGGCCACAGGCAGGAACTGGACTAGGAGTGTTTCAACATGCTCAGGAGGTAAAACCGCAGGAAACCACAGGGTACTGGCAAGCTGGACAAGTCCACAGGGAGGTCACCAGTGACGCTCAGGGACGGGGGAGAGGGAGAAGACCCAGGGCCAGCCCCACCCAGCCACACAAGGGCCTTGGAGGGAGGGTGGGGCAGGTGACTTCCCCCCAGGCCTGACGCCCCTTCCCTGCCATCCCCCTGCCCCTTGGGGGACTTTGCATCCAGCCACTCTGTCCCCAGGGTCTCGGGGTTCCCACCACCTCCCCAAGCAGTGGGCTCCAGGACCTGGCACAGGGTCAGTGCCTCCCAAGACATCGGGCATCCGGATCAACAGGAAGCCGTGGCGCGCCCCCTCGGGCATGCACCTGGGCACTGGCTGGCCATGCTGAGCTCTGCCGGCCAGCACTGGACCCGCGCCTCGGACGGGATATGGCAGGGATCCGAGCCTGGGCGCGTGCCCACTCCCGGGCTTGAAATCTTTCCCGAACACTCCCCAAAGCCACAGCTTTCAGTCCTTTGATCTGATGGGGACCAGCTGCCAAGCCTCTGGGGGTGAAGCCCCACCTGTTCTCCTCCAGGGGACGTCACACCTGACCACAAGGCCCAGCAGGGCAGAGGCGGGGAAGGGGCTGGCCGAGGGGCAGGGGGCCACCAGCAGGTCCATCCCAGCGCCTCCGTGAATACGAGTCCCAGCAGACCCAGGGCCTCAGCCTCCTCTGAGGGAAGCCTCCTGGAGGCACCTGCAGGGGTGAAGGCCTCAAGTCCAAGCGAAGGTCTGCTAACACCTGTCCGGGGAGCCCCTTGGGTCTAGGAGACAGCGCCCACCCTCACAGTTCAGCCGGGAAGCTGGGACCCGGGGCCCACCCTGTGCTCCCGCTTCACAGCCACACCAGACCCAGAGTGACCGCTGTTCAGGGCCAGGCCACACAGATGGACGTAGAGGGCGGGGCCAGCGATGGGCATGAGAGGGGACAATCGCCCACTTGTCCAGTCCTCAGGCCCTGTTCTCCAGCCAGGCGGAGACTTGGCTCCTATCACCAGGTTGCTCCAGGAACAACACCTCGCACGCTTATCTCCCCCGTTGCTCAGCGCATTCAAGCGCTCCCCGGCCAGGACAGAAATGCCGCTCCCAGCCATTTGCCACCAAGCGAGTGCATTGGGAGAGAGGGACCCCCAGGCTCTGGAGACCCCATGGTGCCACGATGGAGCCCCCACCAGGGCTCAGGGCCAGGGCCTTCTACACACCCCTGAGTGGCCCTGAGATCATGGGGACAATAAATTCTGGGATGCACAGTTTTCACGGGAAATTCAACACATGCACATACAGGCACACATGTGCGCACATGCATGCACACACACATGTACACAGGCACACATGCAAACACAGGCACACATGCACACACAGGCACACACAGGCACACACACGTGCACGCAGGCACACACACACACATGCACACACAAGCACACACGTGCACACAGGCACACATGCACACACAGCTACACACACGTGCACACAGGCACACACACGTGCACACACAGGTGCACACACAGGCACAGACATGCACACACAGGCACACACACGTGCACACAGGCACACGTAGACACACAGGTATACAGGCACACATGTGTGCACACACAGGTACACATGTGTGCACACACACATGCACAAACATCACACACCTACAAGCGGGCATCTTCACCACAGGCCCAGTGGGCAGCCCCATTGCAGGCTGGTGGCATCCAGCCCCCACCCGCCCCACACCTGTGCAAGCTGCAGGGATCCCCCAATCCTAGGGGACGCTGGGGACTCACGTGCTGAACGTCACGGCCATAACTGCCCTTCAAGGTCAGGGTTCTCATGGGCCCAGACAGGCGGTCAGACAAGCACAACTGCTGGGCCGATGCAGCCACAGGGCTCCCAGCCATGCCACCTGCCCGTGAGGCCCCTTTCAGTACCGGCTGCCCTGGTGCAGTGACCCCACCCAGGGAAGGGGGCCCTAAGATCTCAGCCCCTCTTAGTCTCCACCTCAAGCCCGGGTTGAGAGGCCCCAGCTCAGAACAAGGGCCAGCTGTGAGCCCTGTGTCCATCCAGCCTCAGCATGACAGGACAAGGGCCTCACTCCTGTGCCTCAGTTTCTCACCTGAACCACAGGGGCCACTGAGCGTGTTAAGAAGGGACAGCCAAGGCCAGATGCAGTGGCTCACGCCTGTCATCCCAGCACTCTGGGAGGCTGAGGCAGGAGATCTCTTGAGCCAAGAAGTTCAAGACCTGCCTGGAAAACGTGAGACCTCGTCTCTACAAAAATAAAAAATAAAAAGAACAGATGAGAGCAGGAACACCCAGAATGCCTGGTGTGGGGCTCTCGGGGTGGGTAGCACACGTACAGTAATTTCCTACGAAAACAACTTATTGTAATTTCAAGCAACGTTCTGCAAAACAAGCTGATTTAAGTGAAACACCTGACACCTACCGCGTGGGGCACGTGTGGCCCTGGAGCCTCTTCCGGGGCAGGCGGGGCGGCTCCCCGGCGAGTGGGCACAGGTGGGACAGAGGTGGCAGGCCCAGGTCCCAGCCAGCGGGCTCAGCTCACCTGTGGGACGGGGGTGCAGCCCCATGTGGGAAACCCAGCCCAGGGAGACCAGGTGGCCTCGGGGCCCTCCTGGCTCAGGCTGGGATGCTGGCATGTGGTGGGAATGGCCCCAAGGCCAGCAAGGGCTCCTGTTGGGGTAGGGGGCCAAAATCCCCTGCGGGAGGGGTCCCTGGGCTCCCAAATGAGGCTGGGGCAATCCCGGCGACCGCTCAGACCTCCACCTCCCTCCCACACTGCCAGCCACCGGCACCACCCCGATGTCCCCAGACTTTGCCCTGGCCCCTCAGGCGTGGCACGTGCCTCCACAGGTGAGGCCTCCTGGTCATCCCAGTTCCTGCCCCCAGGAGCACACCAGCGACCCCACAGCCCTGCACAGATGCCCCAGCAGACAAGCGGCCCCTGAGCTTCTGTGCCCAAGACGGCCGCCGACAGTGCTCGGGGGAGAAGAAAATAGCTGTGGAGGGGTCTTCAGGAGCGAGCCTGGGACCCGGCGGGCTACAGAGACACGGTAGCTCCTCAGGCCTCCAGGGCAGCCTGTTTGAGCCCCAAGGCTGTTGTCTGTCCCAGACGGCAAATCCCCTGCTCCCCAATGCCCCCTGGCAGGGTCCACCCAGTCCTCAACGCCCCCTGGCATGGTCCCTCCTGTTGGGTGATCTTTCCTGCTGGGCAGGGAACTCAGGGTGAGGGGTGGACCCAGCTCCCTTCAGGGGTCCTGGGACTCAGGGTGGGGGTGGGCCCAGTGCCCTTCGGGGGCCCTGGGATTCAGGTGTAGCAGGGCTCCCCCCAGCTGGGTCAGCACTGGTCCCCCCAGAAGGGGCAGAGCAGGTGCCCCAGGGCCCCTACCTCCCCCAGCGGGCCTGTCCGGCCACCAGGCGGGTGGCTGACAGGGCCCACGTTGACCCAGCAGCGGGGAGGGCCCGGCCGGGATGGCCCCGATGTGGGGGGTGTTTGCAGGGCCTTCGGGGGTGTGCGTGCGTCAGCCCCCGCTGGGAGTGGGTGATAATGGGACCGTTGCCTGCAGGATTTTCCAAAGAAAGCCGAGTCCTGATAAAGCAGGCCCAGATCCTGTTTGGCCACCGCTGCGCCCGCCAGCAGTGGTGATTAAGGGGCTGGACCGTGGGGCGCAGGCGGGTGCGGCGGGGGAGGGCCCACCACCCTATATAAGGCTCCCAGGACTGGCCATTGGAGCCGCACGGGTGGCAGCAGCAGGCCTGCCGGGCCCAGCGCGAGCTCCTCTCCACCGTGCACCATGCTCCGGCCGTGGCTGCTGCTGTCCTGCTGCGGAGCCCTGCTCAGCACTGGTGAGTGAGGCCGAGGGGTGCCGGACACTGCGGTGCCCTCAGAGGGGCCCTGGGCTTTCTCGCCTTGCCAACTTGGCTGGCCCACGTGGACACTGATGGACGGAAGGCCCCACCTCGGCTCTGTGACCAGCCCCTGCTGCTGGGCCCGGGTCCCCCTCGCAGCCTCGGTGCTGGGCTCTGCCAGTTGGGGTCAGGGACCCCATGGGGCCTGGGCAGGGACGCCCTCCTGTGGGCTGACACAGCGGCCAGCAGGGGAGGACGCTCGGCTGGAGTGGGGTCCGGAGGTCCCGCAGGAACAGTGGGCAGATGTGCTGGTGCCCAGGCCTGGCGCTCTCCCTCCCCCCGTGGGGTTCTGAGTCCCGAGAGGTCTCTGGAGTGTGGGGGACAGAGGCACGGTTCCTGCTGCCGTGGGCCTCAGTTTCCTAGTCTACAGAAGTGGGGGATGCTGCCTCCCCCGGTGTGGCCGCTGTGGGGGGAAGGGAGGGGAAGGTGCGCAGCCATTCTGGGCTCAGAACTGCCGCAGGCAGCCTGCCCTCTCCCCCACGCTCCCCTGCCCAGCTCAGGCAAGATCCAGGAGGGACTGACATCCTGGATCCTCTGCCAACCACCTGCCCTGCGGCTGCTGCAGGTGGCCACCAGTCCTGCCCCAGGCCCCCAGAAGGAGCCAGCCCCAAGGGGTCCCTCTGTGGCCACAGCCTGAGGCCTGGGGAGACCCCTCTTGCTGACCAAGGCACCAGCCCAAGGGCCTCTGTGTTCTGTGCCCCTCCTTCCTCTCCAAGCTGGCCCCTGACCTTCCTCCACAGCCCAGAGCTCCCTGGGGTGGACGCTGGCCGGACAGAGCTTGCCCTCGGAGCTGCTGCCAACCTGGGACCTCGGGCTCAGAGCACAGTGGGACCCCCCCAGGGGTGCCCCAAACCCGCCCCACCCCTTCTCTCCCTTGAAGCCCCTTCCCCACCACGCTGGGCACCACCCTTCAACGGTGGGAGATGTGGGGGTCTCTGAGCCCTCCCAGCAGTACCCTCTGCTTGGACCCCGGCCCCCACCTGCACACCTGGCACAGCTTGGGGACAAGTGCCAGAAAGTGGGGCTGAACTTGCAGCAGAGCGAGACCCCTAGTCCCTTGGGTCACCACCCTGGAGCCAGGGAGGAAGGTGTGATGAGGCCCAGGGAGCCTGGAAGTCTGGGCTGTGGGCAGTGCAGAGGGTGGAGGGCCAAGTGGGGGTGTCCGGCTGTTACCCCAGCAAATGCTCTCTGAGCGCCGCCTCTGCCAGCACGGGAGGGGCCTCCGCCGGCAGAGTGTGGAGTCGGGCAGCTGTGCTGCAGGCCTGGGCCGCGGTGGGCCGGGAGGCAGGGGTGGGTGGCCGCCAAGCATGCAGAAGGAACAGCGCGCACCTGCCGCCTCGGGCTCGTCCAGGGGCTAAGAGGCCGGGGGTGGCAGACCAACCCACCCAGAGGCCCATGAGCCTGGCCGAGGGATGAGCCAAGGGGAAGCACAGCCAGTCTGGGCAGGAACGCAGGAGCCTCCTGCTGGGCTTCAGACAGAGCTGGAGGCAGCCGACTTGGAGCCAGTGGACCCGGGGAACCTCCTGCAGGTGGGGCAGGGCGAGGGCGGTGGGGGGCACAGGGGACGCAGCAATGAGGCACCCACCCGGGGCAGTGGAGCCAGCCTGGCAGGGCCGAGGGCACTGAAACACGGGCCTGAGGTGTCTGTGCTGCAGCAGGGACGGCCACCAAGTGCCATCCCCCATCTGAAAGGTGGAGAAACTGAGTTGCAGGGGGCATTGCCCAGGGGAGACCTGTCACAGCTCTGCAGCCTCCAGAGGTGCTGGCCTAGGGGTGGGCAGCCAACTCCTCCTCCCGCTCAGAGCTCTCCCACCCCTCCCCCACCAGAAGCCAGTGAGGGCTCCATCCCAGGAACCACTGAGTTCCGTGGCTGAGGGTTCCGTGTGTTGCACACTCCTACAACAGGTGCTTCTGAGCCCCACGGATCATCCCTGGAAGGAATGGCAGGGGGCTGAGGACCACGACACCTGCTGGGACCCCCAGGAAGGGGATGGGTGAGGGGTGGGTGCTCGCCAGGCTCAGGGCCCAGCATGAGCCACCCCCACCCAAGTCTGGAGTAAACTCAGCTTACATTGGGGATAAGCCAGGTGCAGCCCATCAGAAAACGATCTCAAGGCCAAAGGAGACCACAGCCAAATGTGTGTCCCCCACAGCCAAGACTAGCATTCTCCTTAAATCCAGTCACTCAAATATCCAACACCTCCTGCCTGTGCCAGAGAGGACTCACCCGGGTGGCCAAGGGGCAGGCAGCCTGGCTCCTCCCTGGACCGTGGGTAACACCATGCCCCAGCCGACAGGCCCCTGCCCCTGCATCACCAGAGACACAGGTGTCCAGCGGTAACGGGGGCAGCACCAAGTCAGTCCCAGAAAGTGGGCAGAGCCGGGGGTGGGAGCGCAGGTGGGGAGTGGCAGGAACGGGATCTCAGAGCTACGTCTGGAGGGAGGTGCCGTGAGTGCCCTGCTAACCAATGGGCAGGGACAAGGAGGGTCCCGGCCCTGAGAGGGGTCTGAAGACGTCACGGGTCCTGCTCAGGTGCCCCACCAGTACTCAGACATCGGCGGCCCATGGGAGCCACAAGAAGGGCCATAGTCCTGGAGGCAGGGTCCGGGGAGTTACCCAGAGGTGGTAGAAGTCTCCCTCTGGGTAAAGGGGATGGGACCTGGGGGGTGTTGGCCCCACCCCAGCCTCCGCGAGTCAGAGTGGGGCATCCCCCGCTGCCCTGCCCTGGAGTCACCATGACTGGGCTATCTGGACATTTCTCTGACAACAGTGGCCTCAGTGCCAGGCCTGACATCAAGGCTGTCTCAAGGCTGATGTGCAGGCAAGTGGCCATGTTTAGAGCCACTGAGGGCAGGGAGAACTGGCCGTGGGGCCTTGGCACAGACCCCTCAGGGAAACCAGGCGGCCAAGCTGGGGAGGTGGGCACAGCCCGTTCTGTTGGCTCCACTCTCAAGCCCCTGCCACCCACACCAGCCCCTCCTCGCCCTGCCCAGGAGCCCCAGGGATGAGTACCCTGCACACAGGGTGCCCATCATCTGCCGAACCCCAAGGGGCTGACGGCTGAACTGGGACTGAGTGGACGAATGAGGAAGTGAATGAAAGCAGGGAAGGAAGCCGGGGCTCGTGAAGGACAACACGAGAGGCCGAGCGCTTGGCCTGCTGTTGAGGCCTTGAGCCCCGTGAGCCATGGATGCTTCTCGCACTCCGAGCGTGTGCAGGGCACAGGCAGAGCAGCCCTGGGCAGAGGTGAGCGGCGCCCTCAGGGATGACAGGGCAGCCCCACACCGACCGCGGGTCCCATCCACACAGGTCTGGCCGACACTTCCTACACCAGCCCAGGCCTCTGGAGGCCGAAGGACTCTCCACAGACAGGTAAGAGCGCAGCGGCCGCTGATCCTGCCGCCCAGACCACCCAGGTCGGGTGTGCAGGAGAGAGGGCCCCCCAAGACACACACATCCAACACACATACACACACATGCATGCACCAACAAACATGAACACACATGCACATGCCAGCATATGCACACATACCAATATACACATGCACATACACCTGACACACACACATACATGACACAGATGCATGAGCACACATCACACACACCCAACACACACTACACACAACCAACACACACTACAGACACACAACCCAACACACACGCACATACACCCAACACACGACACAGACACAACCCAACACACACGACATACACACACACCCCCAACATATACATACACACACACCCAACACTACACACAACCCAACACACACTAGACACACAACCCAACACACATGCACACACACCCAACACACACCCAACACACATGACCTACACACTCCTGACATACACATGCACACACCCAACACAGCCCAACACACATACACACCCAACACCCACCCACGCACACACATCCCAGACATGCAAACGTGCACACATACAACATGCATGACTTACACATGTGCACACATCCAACACAACCCTACACACACATGCACATGCACCTTTGTACACACCCTACACACACCTGAGACGTGCCCAACACACATGCACACCAACACACACGCACACACCCAGCATGTACACACAAGCACCCAACACACATGCCCAGCTCACACACACACATGCACACATACACAATCACACACACCCAATACACAGTGCAATGGCGCATTTTTGTATTTTCAGTTTTTCTTTTTTCTCTTTCTTTTTTTTTTTTTTTTTTTTTTGGTGATAGTCTCTCTGTCACCCAGGCTGGAGTGCAGGCGGCACGATCTCAGCTCACTACAGCCCGACTCCCGAGTTCAAGCGATTCTCGTGCCTCGGCCCCTCCGAATGCTTTAGGATTAGGTGTGCCCCCCACACCACCTGGCTAATTTTTTGTATTTTTAGTAGAGATGAGGTTTCACCACATTGCCATGAGCTAGTCTCGACTCCCTGGCCTCAAGTATTCCACCTGCCTTGGCCTTTATATTTCATGGTTTTGAATGGGTAAAGAACAGATCCTTAAGCAAACTTCCTCCTGCCTGGTCGTCCCCAGCTCCTTTCCCTGCCTGGAGATGACAGATGTGTTCTCTGTGCTATTTTTACAAGGTTCTACCAAGTCTAAAGCGATTTCGTAGTGGGAAGTCTTATGCGATGGTCATTATGGAAAACAGCATGGAGAGTTTCCCAGAAGCCCAAACACAGAACCACCATGTAATCCGGCTGTCCCACTCCCGAGTCACGACAGGTGGAGCCGCATCGAGTAACTATCACGGAAAGGGGCGCCTGCACCCATGTTCGCCGCAGCCTTTCTCCTACAGCCACAGAAGCGGGAACCAGCCTCCAGAAGTCCAGCAGCCAGGAAGGCGCATCCACGTCAGAGAACTGCTCCTCCACAGAAGGGACGTGTCACTGGAACTGCCCAAGGATAAACACATGCGGAGCAGATGAGCAGAAGATACACACTCACGGGATCTCATCCATGCAGGAACCTACATTTGAACTCCCACAGGAAACAGAGAGGACCCGGGGACATAGGGCTGGGAACTGGGAGGTTGGTCAAAGGTACAAGTTCTGTACAGACCCGGGAACAGTGGCTCATGCCTGTAATCCCAGCAGCACTTTGGAGCCGAGACAAGTGGATCACTGAGGTTAGGGGAGTTGAGACCAGCCTGGCCAGCATGATAGAACCCGTCTCTAACAATACAAAAAATTGAGGCCAAGGCGGTGGCTCCCAGCACCTGTAATCCCGGCACTTTGGGATGCTGAGGCGGTCAGATCACGAGGTCAGGAGATCAAGATCATCCTGGCCAGCATGAAGTGAAACCCATCTCTAAAATACAAAATTAGCTAAATACAAAAAATTAGCTGGGCGTGGTGGCAGGTGCCTGTAATCCCAGCTACTCAGGAGGCTGAGGCAGGAGAATTGCTTGAACCCCGGGAGGCAGAGGTTGCAGTAGGCCGAGATCGCGCCACTGCACTCAAACCTAGCAACAGAGCGAGACTCCGGCTCAAACAAACAAACAAAAAAATTAGCCAGGGTGATGGCGTGCGCCTGTAATCCCAGCTGCTCAGGAGGCTGAAGTACCGGGTGAAGCGGCCTGGGAGACAGAGGTTACAGTGAGCCAAGATCGCACATTTGCCTCCAGCCTGGCTACAGAGTGAAATTCCCATTTCAAAATATATATATATCCGTTAGACAAGAGGAATAAATTCAGAGATGTACTTTGGCATGGTGACTGCAATTAATAACACCATGCCTAAGTAGTCATGAAAATCAATAAGAAGAAAAAAGAAAATCATTTGCGAAGTTTGCCAGTATTCTCTACAAGCGG